GTGCTTTAACAATGTTACAGACCTTGGTTGATGGATTCCGGAATACGTTCAAGTAAGAGTCGCAAACATTTGAATCAGTCCGGCAACTACTGAAAGTATCAGTGATGTACTAGATATACTTAAATTATATGTTTAATGTACATTTGTCAAAATATATAAAATGAATTTTAGACAAATATAGTAAAACTTATAAATGTAACTATTGTTATTTCATCTTGAGATACATGAGGAAGAAGTTACATAAGAGAAACGTCAATGAAACGTTTGTGTGTGGTTTATTTGATTTTGTATCATTATACAAATGTATTGATAATTTGACAGGAACGAAATCAGACGTGTTTAATTAAACTCCAGTACGATTCTTTTCTCCGCAAAATGCGGAATTCTTCACAAAATCACCTATGACAGAAATGTGTGTAAGTAACCGTTAGTTAAAAATAAACTTACTTCCTCCTTTATCAAATTATAATCATGCATCAAGGTCGGAAAACGTGAATTTATAATCTATTTCTATAAGCAGTTTCACAGAAATAACCTGTAGCACACCTCTTATATTAAGTGTTTGATCATTTATTTTTAACTGTTCCCAGTTCAAGGTCTTATTCACATTTTTATTTTTTTCGCTTAGAATGTTTTGTTTCCAAATTCTAAGATCATACAATGTATAAAGCAGTTTTCATTTTATCTATATGATTAAATAAACGTCCTACATTAGCTTATCAGTTCGATAGTCAATTAGCATCAATATTGTACAACAACTTATGTTCCCCTATCCCCCCGGCTAGGCTTACGACATGGTAAGACTGATATGGCAATTAAGCTATATTCGCAAGATAATGATATTAACAAAAAATGAAGAGTAAACGAAAGTCACAATTGACAACTTCATTAGCATATCATCTATCCTATGTGGCTTTCACTAGATTATTCTAAACGTAAATCATATTTTGCTAAGCAAAACAAGAAGATAGAAGATAGACGATACCAAATTCATTTGAACCCCAATTATATTTATAATTATTTATTGCACCACTGTATTGTACAGACAGAAAATTAAATTAGTGTATGATGCTTAATTTTAGGACAGTGGAATATGTCATTGTATCTCTTTTCAAACTTTCCGTGTCTTTTACTAAATGGTATTGATTACAATTACAATATAATTTGAAAAAATGCTATATGCATACAGCCCTACGCGTTGCAATATGCTCATACATCATATATCATATGTACGATTTGTGATATTTACCACAGAGTAACCGCTCTAAAAGTCATTCTTTAAACAAATAATGATCCTAGAAATACGAAAACATTAAAATAATAGGAAAGCAGACAACCATAATTAAAAGCCCGAAATATTTTGTCCAAAACAAGAGATAATTATCAGGCATATCGTCATTTAAAAATTATAGCGACGCGAATTTTTAAACTGTATATTTTAAAGAATATCAAAGATACATACACTATCAAAATTCTAAAAATTGAGAAAAGTTATATGTAAATCGAAGAAAATTTTTTTTTATTACTTTGTAATTCATTGCGTTCTGTCAATAAAAATAATATCTGAAGAAAATAATTTCAATTCATGTTTGTGAAAGAGAACCCAGTCTATTACATCGTTAAAATCAACTATAGAATGTATTAAAAAAAGTCAAATAGGATTTTTTTTATTATTTTCCCTTAGTAAAACCCTTATCACATTTAGGATTAGAACGAAAACTTTCAATATAATAATTCAGAAGATAAAGATATATTAATTAAACCGACTTTTACTAGAAACACCATTATTAAGTGTAGTGCCAGCACTGATTGGATTTTACCCATGATTTGATTTTAACGGTTATGATATGAGAGGCAGCATCTGTTACATTGGAAAACAATAAAACAATAATACATTTGTCTCATTATATTGCCTCTGAAAGCTCAGGGTATTACAAAATCGCAATCATTTCAATCTATTTGTAGTTATCTAATAAAATATTCATATCTCGCACCAGAATCAAATGAATAATTTAAGTATCAAATTTTATAACCCGTTGTATTTTATAAAATTTGAATGAAATTTGTATTGAATACGTTGTTTTTATTAAATATTGTTTGTTCAATAGCATATTTTTTGTTGTTTTACGACGCAGTTTAAATCATATGGCGCTGAAATTTCGGGCGTTACAAACTTCAAAGCAACGCCAGAGATCAAAACCATCTCACTGGCTAGACGTGACGGATAGATCTACTCAAGTTAATCCAACCCATTTAGTCTTGACCTCTTACGATCGCGCAGGGATAAACTGTGGCTGTAATTCTTATACCTCAATCCCTCAGTCACAAAGGCATATTATCTATCTAAAAAAAAACACTATGTATCCTATATAACCCAGACATTAACTTTCAAAGCGTGGTAAAGCCTCAAACAAACCAAGAGACTATTAAAATTGGCATCTTATCATATAACACCTAATACGTTTTTATGACTACAAATGAATGTGTCAGCCACAATAATACGGTTATCCCTGGCAACATGAATATGCAAATTTAACAAGAAAAATATATACGAGTTATACATTTTTAAATTAATATACAATATACAAAATCCTTAAACAAACAAGCACCATCAGCAACAATATTATCAATTTAAGCCTGATTCTATCTAAGTGAAAACCATGTATTTGCCTTAATATATATTCAATTGGGAGGAGACAGAAAGTACAATGTCCATGAATGTTAAGAACGTTTGAAAATTCTTTGAAAATGACTTTCCCGTATGTTAGCAATTTGCTAAGTTTATTTAAGATATATTTTCTTTTTTTATGATATGATGTACTTTAATAATGTATGATATGTAGAGTTTATTCATATAAACTAGCTCCAGGGCTGGCTTGTCTGCCAGAACTCAGGATGCCTGTTATAAAAATGTATAAAATATTTATATGATTCCAAATTATAGTTGTATTATATAATTTATATGTAAATAAAGATGAGATTTGCATCAGAATATAATTGCTTTAAGCCTATGGAAATGTTATTGAAATTAAAGCATGTAACACACTGCGATACATCTTGAAACAATATAATTCCAAAATTCATAAGCTTGGTGAACCAAATCAAAAGTTTGTATATTTCTTAGTAACCGTGTACATGTAATTTTTTTTTGATTTATGAAAACTATTTCATTAACTTCAAAATGACGTCCATACTTGTATTGTACTATTACGCCACATGATATAATGTATTAAATCTCTTTAATCATAATGAACAATGCAAAAAAGTATAGGTTCGCCATTATTATATGCTATAGAAGGCAAAATGATAATAATACATTACTATTATAGAAAATAATAATGATTAAGAAAAAAAGGACATGGCATCTGTCAGTTTCAATTAATTTATTTTTGTGAATTGTAGATTTCAATAACAATTGTTGCATTCTAAATTGGAAGAGGATAGGAATATCAAATAACATTGATTGCGTTGCTCTGTGATTTAATTACAGTTTCATATTAGGCTTTTGCCGTCATGGCAATATGCTATCTTGTTTATTTAGATTGGTACCTACAGAAAGGAGTGAAAATCACTAATTCTTATTCCGATTAATTTTCAAAAATGCATTTATTCACATTTTATTGTAAAATTCCCACAAGTATTTCATATAAACTTAAGTTTAAAGTTTTTGATGAAAATAACTGAAATCGAACGTCATATTGAGTGGCGTTTTCATAATTGTTTTGTCTGGGTGCAACATTTCTTAATATAATTTTAAAATCATTGGTATTTTTCAAGTCAGTCATATTATTGATTAGAATAAATCACGAATGTCTGATCATGGAACATAGTTTCCCCAGTGGACGAGTTTGCTACATTAGGAAACTTAGTTCTTGAAATATAATCTATATTTGCAAATATAAAATTTGATATGACTTTAAAAGATTTTAAAGTAAACTGCATTATAAATGTTATGTTAAAATAGAATATCGTTAAGTGCATTTGAATGGCATGCATATGTTTGTTACGACCTTGGTAATTAAGATTGCAGTGCACACAGCTCATATTGTATGTATTAGGTAATTCACCAGTATGGAGATTACTATATGATCAAAAATATTTGTTAAAAAATCGCGTCGAATAACGATGTCTATAATACCCGAACAAGGAATTGTTCCATTAGCATTCAATATGCAACTCCCTAAATGCGTTTCTCTTTTTTTCTTCCTTTTACAGCATACACTGCTTTTTTAAATGTCCCATTAACAATTACCCGCTTTCACTTTCCCTTTAAACATTAAAACGACAAAGAAGGGAATGGAGTTTTCAGAAAAATATATTTTTTAATCCAAAAACAAACAAAAAAAAAGGCTTAAATTTTCCCTAAATCGAAAGTTACAATTTATAAAAAAACCCAAAATGTTTTAGTTTTTTGGGGTTTTTTTCATGCTCCCCCCTTTTTTTTTCCTGAAATATATCAAAATGTTTATTTCATTAAATCGATAAATCCTGCGAAATTTATAAATAAAATTTTATTTGTAGCGAATGATCTAATAGGGATTAAAAAACCCTAATTTTAAAAACCCCAAAATATCAGGCAAAAAAAATTCAAAAGTATTTTTGCATCTTTAGGAAAAAAGTCGATGCCAGCATATGTCATGATAAAAATGTAACATTTAAAGAAATTAAACAGAACCATATTTAAAAAGTGATGATATGACGTCAAGATGTAATGACGTCAAAAAGGAGAATGGGCGACGTTACGCGGCAAAATCAGTAAAACTTAAAAGCGTTAATGAAAAGAAAATGTGTTTGTTTTACATATAATATTGAAATATATTTTATTCGTGAACACCAGCTGTTCTTTTAAGCAACTCGTGAAAATATTGCATCTGGTGTTCACTCAATGTATTATATTTCTATGTATTTCAAACAGTAAATATAACTTATTTTTATCAACTTGCAAATTAATAGAATTACTGCGAATAAAATATCGGGTGGACTGTTTTATAAAGGTTTATATTGTATGTTTAATCCTTTTTATTTATAAGGCTACAACAATAAAATGTAATACTTTAATAACGCTAGTACAATAACAAACGTTTGTTATAAAATGTTTAAAATAAAATTTGATTTTCAATCATTAATAAAAAGCATAATATATTTATTTATTTAACATAATACAATGACAGAAACAATCAACTTATATTTGAGCGATTACTTCAATAATCTTAATTCGTTTAACGAAAGGCCCCTACATTGTCCCCGAATTGGTAACTCCAAATATATTCTGTTTATCTGGTGTGAGGAATTCGATGCATTTAATCTCCTACTCCGTCGACAAACATATTGTTTAAAATACATATACACTATGAGATACAACACGCCTCGTGTGTAGTACAGTGTGGTGGACATCTCATAAAATAACTCGCTGATTTCATCCGGATCACGGCTTCCCTCTTTTATCAATGTCCCCACTTCAAATGGTAAATGACAAACCATGAACACGAGAAATATGAAAAAAATGAATCTCATAATGTAATAATAAGTCTCAAATCTTTGTTTTATTGTGCCATGCTGCTTTCTAAGAATAACACAAAATTCAATGAACAATACTGCACACGGTATGCCAAATAGCATCAAAAAGTCTAACGATAAGAATATTTTTCGTAATGCTTCGAACCTATGCGAGAAGAAACACTTCTTTCCGTAGAGAATTGTCGCAGAATTCATCATGTATTCGATATATGTTACTTTGTCATAATCATATATGGTATAGAAAACAACGGTCCAAACATTATATGCTGATGAGAAAAACCAAACCAGACTAATAAAGAACAAACATCTTCCAGCTGTTATGAATCGTGATGGATGCAAAATATTCAATATTTTTTCCGTTGTAAGTAATATTACTGTGTACGAAACGGCTGTTCTTGAAATACAAAGGGCATAGAAATATCCTTTACATAAGTAGACGGACATGTCTCGGTCCAAAGCCAACATTGCGTTGTATGGAATTGCCGCTGCACAACAAATGGTATCAGCCATTGCCAACGAAAAAACAAAAACGTTTGTAGTTCTGCCCAGTAATCTTCGTTGACATATAAGTATCAGCACCCCGATGTTGCCACAAAGATTTAACGCACAAATTACTATATTAGCAATAAATAATGAATACTGATAGCCTTTTAATCCTTTTTCGCCATCTGCACTGATGTTTGAGGACGTTACATTTACACTAAGGGAAGAATTATTCATGTTTGAAATAACAGGCGCATTAAAGCTGATCCGTGGCTTTTGTCTGGTATGCGCATTGTCATGTATATGTTAATTTTGACCTACTGTCCGTCCCTCCTTTGAGGCGTCAACATTGTACGATATTTGACATCTGAAAGGCAGACAAATATAATCATGCATAATCCAACATTATAGATGTTCAATACTCACTTCCGCTCTCTTTCATCCCGAAACATGATAGTCTCATTTTTTAAGAAATCAAACTTTGCACACTGTGTTACTACATTTGATATTTTTTATCAGTTATGATTGCTATATCGAAAAGAAGCGTTCATTTACTTTGTTTCGTTCAATTTCCGTTTGAATCAACATTATAATATCTTCATATTGTTTGCATTTTTATGTTATTATGATTGTGCCAGTAGTTTCGTCCCCTTTTGAAAATAATTATTACTCCAAACTCCTCTAAGACATGCTCCAGTTTTGGCTTTATAAAATTGTATCTTTCTTTTTCTGTAATACATTTAGAGTAAACATCGTACTTTGGAAAAGAAAATAATTAAAAAAAGCATGTAATACCTGGATACCTTATATCTTCAATTTATATAATTCATCATGTTAATAAAAATTTTAAGTGTTCCAATCAAGATTTAATATATTATCCAAAACAATTTTGCTGATTAAATCAATGGCACTGCATCACATAAATGTAATAAATATAACCGAATACAAATTCAAATCACAATATTACATATTTACACATGTTAAAAGTTGATTGGTTTTATTGAAATAAATACATTTCATGTTCTAAAATCCATCCACACAAACTAACGCTAGATTTCTGTTAATATTCCATTTTATATTTAACATTTCCAAGAGTGGAGGCGCTTTTCAAAATTAAATTCAATGTGTAATTTTTGTCACTCACAGATTACAATGTTAATCCTATTTCGTGCGGTATATTTAACATCGGCTTTACAAATACTAGAATTACTGCATTTATCCTTCATGCATGCCCAGTTACTTCAATGAGAAAATATAAGATACGTTCAGCATTGTAATCACGTCAGCCGATATTTCCAATTATAGTTCTCTGCTCCAAAATCTATCAGGCTAATAATGGATTTTTAATCCAAAGTATTTCGCCTCCTCTGACAGGATGAAATTGGACAATATTCTGCTAGAGAGCAGTATATATTTCTCGCCGGAATTCGTTTGTTCAACATGTCTATAGCAAGTATACTCTATCGTTTTTCCCCTCGCATGTCATTATATGTTAAAGCCATTTGTACATTGACTGACAGATACAGCGTTTCGCTACAAATGTTTCATTATATTATTATGATAACTACAAGACAAATATATATATATTTGCTTTGCTGCTTGCTTAATAATTACAAAACAATACAGTAAGTTACTGTTAAAAAATCGATGAAATATATAATATAAAATGCTATAAAATATTATAAAAAGCGACTTAACTGTCCTTTTGCGACACGGCATTTGTTCTATTATTAATGTCTCTCATTAGGCACAGATGTTTAGTTCTACAATTTCGCAATTCAATACTAATTCGTTCTTTCAAGTGTCCAAGATGTGAGAAATCAAACGTTTTTTGTCAGAATGCGGGAATAGAAATTGCTCTTGATTTGAGTTATATTTGAAGAGAGTACATTGAACGTGTATAATGTGTGTGCTGATTTAACCAATGATTGTAACTAACAGCCTTATCAGTGTCACACCATGTCTCCAGGAACATTTATTTCAAGAAGCAGACCCGAAGATTGTTTCAAATGGTTTTGATACAAAAATAATTTAAGCATATATAATTAATTAAAATATATTCATACTGAATCTCAGACCAATAAAATGCAAAGATATATTACTTTTATAACAGTAAATTCCTTAAAAACCTTACTCTGACCAGAAGTCTGACTTTCAGAGGATGTCGGTTTTCAGAGGTTTCATAAATGGCTATATATTTGTTTATTATTGTTTTTACAAATACATTGTTTTGTTATGATTGTCTTTTATATGAATCCTGCATGCTATAGCTCAGTTCTCCTACCACTAATTCAAGCAGTACATTAATATCCTTATCGTCACAATCAATTAGACTTAACATTGATTTCAGCACTTTTGATTGTTGAAAATTGAGTACCTCTCAAGCCGGTGCTAGGGGTTTTGAGAGATGTTGCACTCTTTACTTATCCCTGATGTATAGACTTAATGAAACCCAGTCTGTAATATCCATGTGTTTTTGTTGTGATTCCGAATACCACATCTTTTGACATGTGGCTGGTCCATAAAAACATGCCAAATATATATACTACTTTCATGTTTTCAATGTCCATTGACCAGCATTCATCACAATGTAATTTGTGCAAAGTTCTGTCACATTTGCACTGTCGACATCAAACTTATCAATGATTCCAGGTAATATATCCGGTATTGAGCTTTAAATATTTTATAATAGCCTGATTGGGGAGCTAGATGTGAGACGTTGTGCTTTCATGAAGAAACTTAATGCATACATAACAGAGTCTGTAATCAAATTCATTTTCATACTGAGAAAGGTTGTCGAGCATTAGAAGAATATTTCATCCTTGACGGAAGTTCATTGATCCGAGTTTTAACAATAGTACAAGTCCGTTTTATTATCATTATAACGTTTTATATTCACGAGATATAATATTTGAACCACTAGACACTTTACTTTTATAAATAACGAGTCATAGACTATCTGTTACACAGAGTGAAAATAAATATAACATGCACATTTGATTACGACAATAAAATCTTATGACATATTTGTAATTTATAATCATCAATGGATTGTTACTTAACAATACAGTTACACATTCTTCGCAAATGCAAAAGGAATATTCACCGAAAGGTAGGTAAATGTGATTTTGCTAGCTAACGAGTTGATTTAATATGTGTTCATATCGTGTGTATATGTGTTAATTTTGCTATGAAATTGTTGATATAATTATTATAAACTATTTGGTATATCCGTTCCTAATTATATTACATGTTTTCTTTTTCTTTACAGAGAAAATAATCGTTTTTCCCAAAGTCAACAATTTTACACATCTAACCCTGTTTACTAGTTGTGGCAATTCCTTCGAGATATTTAATTCATTCGTAAATATTACAATATAAGATTACATCACAAAAAGTATATGAAAAGAGCGATAAAATCGTCTGACGTTTGACATGTGTCGTTTGCTCGCTGTATCTCATTGCTATTCCATTCTTTGTACATTCATTGTTTATTGTCAAGAGAATGTTTACTGTACACGAGATATTTTGATTACCGAAAAATAAGTGCGACACTTAGCATATTGAAACCATTGCGTGAGAAAAACATTAGTTGATGTCCTCATAAACCTCGTATGTACTTGCTTGTTTGTAACCTGAGAGTAGTTCATCTCTCACATAGAATCGTAATATATATCAAGACAATACAAATTATCATGTAGCGTATTGTTAATAGATGGATTTGAAGTAACTTTAAATTATAGGTCGTTATTAAATGAGACTGCAACACATAGGTGTAATCATATTTTTTTAAAATTGATCATTCTTTGTGGTTAATTATTTTATGACAGAATTGTAACTTAGACAAATAACATATAATTTTTTATTTATGTATATACTATGTTTTAACAAATAAAGATGACTTATCTTGTTTATCATAATTATTTTGTTATGTTTATTGTCCTGCTTTGGTAATAAAAACAATCGTCCTGCATGTATAGCACAAATCATGATGACCGATATCAACATGTAGTTTTAAATCTTACATTGAAAGTATACCTTTATTTTGACATTGGCAATGCATTTGTTATATAAGCAGATTTGCATATTTTAACCACAAGAATATTCGATATCATGTCTTTGAATAATATCCATTGAATTTTAAATGTCCATTCAGACCTTTGATTTTATATTACTTCTATTTCTTAAAAGCTTTTTAAAAAAAAATTTGTATCCTGTTACAGATTCAAAAAAGTCACTCATTTGCAATCCAGCTGAACCACAATTTGCATTTAGGAATTGAAGAGATTTTTTTTATTTTAACATTCAATCTGTTTTTAAGTAATTTGTGATACAGCATAACGTTCATTTTACTGATTTACATTCATAAAAGTTTGACACTAATAAATGACAGACTTGTTTTATTTAAGTATTGAGTATTTAAACACAAGCTAGTTAAGTGTTATTTTCATACACCAACGTCATCTGTTCAGCCTTCAAAATGTCGTCATATTACATAAACATATAATATATATGGTTGCAAGTAACAAAAATATGTCTGTTCTTAAACAATTAGAACTGGTATAATCTAGATATGTCAGATTCCAGCTGTGTAGTACTCGTTTACAGCATCCAAAATAAAGTAAAGCATGATGATGTGTTTGAAGGCAAATTCAATGTAAACTATTTTTGAAATACAGCTATAACACTTGTTTTTTTTTTGTTGTTGTTTTTTTAAACATAAAATTATAACATCCCTTTCAAAATGCTTCAAATGTGTCAACCATCCAAAATATAATTATGTCAGTTATGTTCTTTAATGAAATCCATTAATATCTGTCATAATACAGCCAGAAAATAACAAAAGCTAGCACTCTCAACTTGCTATTATCTTTAATTAATCAAACTAAACGGAAGTATGCTATTCAATTTTAGATTTTCGTTGGAAATTCCAAAATTATGCAATTTTAAAATATAAGAAAATTTTCCCTCTTTTTCGAAACGTTTTAGTTTTTAAAATTTTGAAATTTTTTTAAACCCGGGTCGAGATCACTAACTGTAAAACGGGCTAAAAAAATTTTAATTTTCTCCCATTTTTTTTAAAATAGGGAGTAATGGGGCAAATGTTTGTAATAATTGTAATTTTGAGTGCGAATAGTTCAACTAATTCTCTTGTAGAAAGATAAAGTTCAACCTTAAACTATAAAACACAATATTGATAAGTCGACAAAACAAAAAATAAGAAAATAAATGGCGATGTTATAAATATTCATTTGCCTCGGTAGCCATTTTGTCAAGTTTGCAATCGTTTTTCTCGCTTGAAGCAAGAATGCAACCACTTCACGCCCTGTTCTTGTAAATAGACAAACAAACTAGCGTTTTGCCGTTGCTAAAATTGTGTTAATATATACTTTCTATTATTACACGAATATATTTAATCAGATTTCTTTTTTCTTCATCATCCACAGCAGCAGCAGCAGCAGCAACAAAAACAGCAGAAATGAACGCAGCAGCATTAGCAACAACAACAACTGGTGCAGCAGAAGATGAAATTATACCTTTTAAATATTTTATATATTTTTCTGTAAAATCTTCTTAAAAGAAATTTTGTAATTAAACTTCTATCAAAATTGAGAATATGGAATCACTAAAGAACGCCGTATAAATCGAAACTATAAACCCTTCCTAAGTATTCAGTATGTAACCGATTTTAAAATGCATCCGTCAATTTATTTTGCTAACATGAAATTACATGTAGTTTTATCATGAAACGTTTAGACAATTAAACTGTCCGCTTGTATTGTCTTGTGTGATGAAATAAGATGTAACGGTCATTTGTTTACAGATGGTTAAAACATATTATTTATATTGCTTATTTATATTTGTATTACCCACAAGTGTATTATATTTATAAGGTTTTGAACCTGTGCATTTATAAATGAGTACTTATCTTATCTCAATAGGATAATAACCAGAAGCTTTTTACTGATGACTTGAAACAAATAATGAAGCAGTGTGTTCTTAACGGGTATTGCTTACTTATAAAACACTTTTGATTTGTTCTATAAAGATTTTAATGTACTATGCATTATGTGATATAATTAGTGAGATATTATTTGATTATATTTCTAAAAAGGCATATCACAATTACTCTTACACACGCGCAGATAGAAAAAATTATTAATATAATAACATACTTCTAAAATAAAATTATAAAAAGAACAACATTTTTGTTATTATAATTAATAATCGAATTCTCAAAATGAATAAGGTGTCTATAATTATCTTATTGTGAATAAGTACAAGAATATTAAATTCTTACATAACATCAAGATTGCGTCAAACTCAAATTGATTCCAAGAAATTTTCCAACAATGTTTTTTTACTTTCTAAATTTAGT